ACCAATACCCAGAAGCTTCCTTCATGCTCCTTTTGTCTCTATCTCCTCTGCTCCCCAAAGAATAGTTGTTATTCTGACTTATAACAGCATAGATTTGATCAGCATAAAGAATATTTAAACAAAAGAAACCATCTCTGTGTTTAGATGCTGACAAGCCTCTCACTTTGACCTGACCTATAAAAGATCATTTCAGGATCCCTTTCAGGACCCAGCTGCCTTTTTAGAAGAAAACAATTTCTTTTTTTTTTTTTTTTTGAGTTGGAGTCTCACTCTGTCACCCAGACTAGAGTGCAGTGGCCGCTTCCGGCCACCACAGCCTGGACCTGCTGGGCTCCGGCGATCCTTCCGCCTCAGCCTTCCAAGTAGTCGGAATTACAGGCATGCGCCACCACGCCCGGCTGATTTTTTTAAATTTATTGTAGAGATGAGGTCTCGCTGCCCAGGCGGGTCTGGAACCCACGGGCTCAGGCAATTCACTCACCTCAGCCTCCCAAAGGCGCGGGATTACAGGCTGAGCCACCAAGCCCGGCGGGATTTTCTTTTTTAAAAAATCAGAGTCTCACTCTTTTGCCTGGGCTGGAGTACAGTAGCATGATCATAGCTCACCACAGCCTCAAATTCCTGGGCTCAGGTGATCCTTCTGCCTCAGCCCCTTGAGTAGCTGGGAAGACAGGCATATACGACCACGACTGGCTAATTTTTTGATTTTTCATAGAGACAAGGTCTTGTAATTAATTACCCAAACTGGTTTAAAACTGGGCTTAGGCAATCCTCTCGCCTCTGCCTCTCAAAGTGCTTACAAGTGTGAGTCATAGCACCTGCTTCAGCCTGTAATCCCGCACCTTTGGGAGGCTGAGGTGAGTGGACTGCCTGAACCCGTGGGTTCGAGACCTACCTGGGCAACTTGGCGAGACCTCATCTCTACAATAAATCAAAAAATTTGCCAGGCCTGGTAGTGTGTGCCTGTAGTTCCAGCTACTTGGAAGGGTGAGGCGGAAGGATCGCCGGAGCACAGTGGGTTGAGGCTGCGGTGGCCGGGAGCGGCCACTGCACTCCAGTCTGGGCGACAGAGTGAGACTCCAACTCA